ACTGAAAGACCCTGACTCAAAGGATAAGATGACTTCAGCCTCTGACCTCCACACGTGCATGCACCCACACATGCAAAACCACACATTCACACATGAAAAAATAGAAAAAATGAGAACTACAAATGTAAAAGCAATTCAAGGAAGCCCATGCAGTGGATTCCAGCACTTGAGAGACAGAGTCAGGTTCTGTGAGTTCAAGGCCATCCTGGTTTACAGAGGGAGTTTCAGGACAACCAGGGTTACACAAAGAAACCCTACCTTAAAAGAATGAAACCAAACCAAAAAAGGTAATTCAAGGTCATTCTTAGGGACTTATTGAGTTGAAGCCAACCTAGGCTACATGAGATAACTTCTAAAAAGAAAAAAAAAAAGCCATTGATTGATGAGGCTCTTCAGTCTTGTATTCATATAACAGCGAACCAAAATAAAACTCCTTTCCTTCTAACTTGTCAGTCTATGGCATTGTCATAGGAACAGAAAGCAAACAGAAGTAGCTACCTGTGGCCAACCTGCCTTTACTCCATGACATTTTTGCACAGCCTGGGAGGGATTGTTATCTGGTGACTTCCTCCAAACTGGAACATCCCTTTCTAGAGGAAGGATGGAAGGCCCATATCACTCAGGAAATAAAACGCATGAGTCTCAGGAAACTCCTCAAATTTACAGGATTTACAACGCCTCTCCCTCAAGGGTATAAACCAGTAAGAACCTCGGGGGTGGAGACTCTGGGGTGGAGCTGCCTGCAAGTTGTGCAGCTTTTGTGAGTTGCCACCCATCCTATGATGAGCTTTGGTGGCTCCCTTTGAGTCACCCCAATGAACTCACTGGTTCTCTAAGCCATACTGGGTAGAGTAATTTCTTTGATCTGTGGTCAGTGCCTGTCCAGAGTAAACAAACCTTTATTCGCTTGTCTCCTGATGATCAGAGACAACAGGAATCCAGGGAGCAAAGGTGCAGGTAATATCTCAGCAAAATGGTAAACGCTGGAACCTTCAGGACGGCTGCTAAGGCTGTGGAAAAGAGCTCTAAAGACATGAGTTCAAAAATATATAGTTTCTCAGCTATGCAAAAATATAAGGATGCAATATGAATTGTATAAGGGGCTTCACAGATCTAAAGGAACAGAGGCAGCTTTACTATGAGTCAACTGTCAGAAAGATTCTAAGTAAGGAAATAAAGTGGTGATCTAAGGACAGGATCCCACCCAGCTGAGTTTTTTGTTTATGCTTACAATGGCAGACAGATTCCTGAGTTCAGGGTGGGCCTGGGACAAAACAAGGTTAGGGCCAGGTGTGGTAGAAATAGTAATTTCGGGACAGGGTCCCACTCAGCTAGCCTATTGTTTGTGCTTAACAGAAGCAGGAGGATCTCTGAATTCTTTTGCAATGTTAAAATAAAATGTGTGCTTGCTATTTCCTAAGAATTAAGAAGTCACAGGATGCTGATTCATAAGATAATCAAAAGGAAACCTGGAGTAAATGACTAGATTGATATGTAAAATAAGATACAAGCTTTATGATCTGCAGGAGGTGAGCTGTCCAGAGAGAACTATCTCGAGCAGAACACAGAAAAAGAGCGCTGTCTGGAGATCTCCAGAGAAAGCGGGCTTGAAAGCTGTCTTGAGCAGAACACAGCCTGTCAGCTTGGCCCCACAATTTGACTTTGAGTCATTTGTTTTGCCACTTTCAGACACTCTTCCTCAGAACCCCTTTCCAAGCCAAGGCTAGTCCTTTGCAGAAATCTAAATATATTTGTTTTTCAATTGCTTATTACTTATTTAGTCTGTGGCCAGAGGACAACTTGAGGTAGTCAGTTCTTTCTTCCCACTATGTTGATTCTAGGGATCAAAATCAAGTCAGCCTTGATGGCAAGCACCTTGCCTAATGTTCTCAAGTATTCACTGTCATGAAAGCTCAAGGAAGGTGGAGTTCCTCGGGTGACAGACACGAGACACACGGTCCTGGTTAGTTTCTGTTAACTTGACACAAGCTAGGGTTGTCTGAGAGGAGGGAACCACAGCTAAGAAAACGCATCCGTAAGATGCACAAGCCTGTGGGGGGTTCTTAATTGATGATTGATGTGGGAGGACCATACCAATCCTGGGCTGATGGTCCTGGGTGCTATAAGAAGAAAGCAGGCTGAGCAAACCACGGGGCGCAAGCTAGTAAGCAGCACCCCTCCATGGCCTCTCCATGAGCTTCTGCCTCCAGGTTCCTCCTTTTAAGTGTGATTCAGGATATGTAAATAAAATTAATCCTTTTCTCTCCAAGTTCCGTTAGGTCATGGTGTTCTAATCATAGCATTAGAAAGCAAACTAAGCAGCTATATGGACCCAACCAGAAGTGAATGTCCACACCAGTCTTCCAAGTCCTGAAGTAGCTTAAGGGAGGGATGTGGAGAGTTCTAAGACAGCCCAAGCTACATAGCCAGATCCTACCTACAATAAAACATAATCAAGCAACTCTGCCATGGTGGCACGGCTGTCATTACACAACCAAAGAGGTTGAGGCAGGAGAAGAGTCAGGCCAGACTAGCCCGAGCTGCACAGTGATATCCTATCTCACAGAGTAGCAGGCAGAAGGGACGTCTATAATATGACATGAACACACTGACATATGCCTTGAACCACTACTCCATAAAATCTTGACTAATTTGGAAATGATAGTGGCTAGGTGTGTGGGTGGGGGGTGGTCCGTAGAAGAGTGTTTGTATGTAAGGTGTCTTGGGTTCATCAGCTGCACAGGAAACGGAGAGGGAAGGGAGTGAGAAGAGAAGCAAGGAAAAGATGGAGAAAGGAGAGATAAGTAGACGTAAGAGGGAAGAAGGGGAGAGGAAGGGGAGAGGAGGGAAAATGAAAAAGAAGAGGGAACCCATAGGTCGGAATAGGGAAAGGTTGAAGCAGTAGGGCTCTGTGCTGTACTTCTCACTGAGGCCGCTAGGAGGCGCTGCGCCTCCTCTAAGCTGCGCAGCCAAGAGCTGTGGCTCAAACCAAGAGGTGATACCTGAAGGTCCAAAACTCTGGACACCCAGAGAGAAAGGTTTAAAGCCAAGCAAGTCGGTGTTTCACAACATCAAAGCATGCGACAAAATTAAAATTCATGAAAGTGTTGAAAGCTTTTTAGAGTCTATTCAACTGTTGGTATCTTCATTTGGTGGGGGCAGGCAGGCCTCCAGATCTCAGGGCTGGTGGGCAGATAAGTGCCAGCATGTCTAGCTGTTCTAATGCCTGCCTTCCCTCCTTCCTTCCTTCCTTCCTTCCTTCCTTCCTTCCTTCCTTCCTTCCTTCCTTCCTTCCTTTTTTCCTTCCGTCTTTTCTTCCTTTCTTTCTTCTTTCCCTCCCTCCCTCTCTTCTTTCTTTCTTTCTTTCTTTCTTTCTTTCTTTCTTTCCTTCCTTCTTTCTGAAAAAGAATTGTTGTGCTGCACTCAGGAGGCAGAGGCAGGCAGATCCACAGCTACACAGAAAACTCTGCCTCGAAAAACAAAAACAAAGAATTGTTTTATTCTCCCATGTGTGTCCGTGTGTTTGTCTGCGGGGTGGGGCTTGTGTGTGTTTTTTTCTCCCATGTGTGTCTGTGTGTTTGTCTGTGGGGTGGGGCTTGTGTGTGTTTTTTTCTCCCATGTGTGTCTGTGTGTTTGTCTGTGGGGTGGGGCTTGTGTGTGTATTTTTCTCCCATGTGTGTCCGTGTGTTTGTCTGCGGGGTGGGGCTTGTGTGTGTGTATGTAGTGCTCTCCAAGTCCAAGCAGGAGTAAGGGTTTACAGGCAGTTGTGAACCACCAGATGTGGGAGCTGGTAACTGAATTCAGATCCTCTGCAAGAGCAGAAAACTCTTCTTGCCCACTGAGCTGTCAACTCCAATCTCTCCCTCCCTCCTCCCTCCCCCAGCTCCCCCCCCACACACACACTGGAGCTGGAACCCAGCACCTCATGTATGCTAGGCGTGCTTGGGGCACTCCAGCACCTCATGTATGCTAGGCGTGCCTGCTTGGGGCACTCCAGCTGTTCATATGAGGTTAAGGTCCACTGGGGTCTTGAGCAGGACACACAGTGTTCAAGTCACAGCAGATCCAGCCGAAAGCTCCTGTGCTCCACTAGGAAGACATCAGAGCAGTTCCGAAGACTAGCATGTCCACCTCAGCAACAGCCCCTCTCCCACCAGCTCTGTCCCAGGCTTGAGTGCTGGGAGAGCAGAGAAAGCTCAGCCCCAAGATTGCGTGTGAGAAACTGCAGGAGTGAGCACAAGGAGCCACAGCAAACGCCTACAGTTCAGGTTTACAGAGGCCCAGAGCCAGGGAGATGGATCCCGGATGACACAGAGAGCTCAGCTTGCAGGAGATATGGAGGGACTTCAGCCTGAAAACCGGTGTCTCAGAAAGCATGGTTTAGAAGGGAAAGGGAGACCAGGAGTGGTCATAGACAAACTAGTGAGGTCAGTAGGAACCTGACCCCGCATAAGGTTGGGGTGCACCCCTCAGGGAGGGAAAGAGCTAACTGCTGCTGCTTTAGAAGTGAGTCGGGGAAGCAACATTCAAAGACTGGGATCAGACTAGAGGAAGAATGGAGCCTTCCTGCATGGGACTCCATCCCACTGAATGATATGAAAATGTCGCATGCCTGAACATATAGACAAAACAGAAATCATGCCTGCTACAGACTTTGTGTCCTTCACCCCAAAAAAGTTAATAAATAATATATGTGAAGGGTCTATTGCCCCCAGTGAGCGTTGGAAAGGCACAAAGCTATCTCAGGGTTTGAGCAGGTCTAATAGTGTCAAGGGAATTCCACTGAACCATGCTTTTCAAGGGGTCCCCAAAGAATCCTAGAGACGCTGGCACCACAGGTGTGAAGGGGAAACCTGGCCAGGAAGTGCAGTGCCCTTGGCCCCTAAGAAGCTGACTTGATAGGGACAGAACACAGAGCAATTAACTAGTTGGTCCTAACAAGACCCTGGGGAACAAGCCTGGCAGTGAGGACAGAGGGTGAGCTGTGCTCTGCCAAAGCCTTGGAGTCTTTTGTAGGGACAGAAAGCTGCCTCCACAAGTCACACACTATCCGGGATCCTTTCCCAAGAAGAGCTGGCTCACCTCCCACTCAGCATCCCACTGCCAGAAGCACACCTCTCATAGGTGAGTGAAGACAGATGATCCAGGCAGGGGAAAAAGAAAGGGGTCACACCGAGCAGTGGGTCGTGGAGGGTGTAGCCAAACCTACTGTGTGACCTTGGACAAGTGGCTTTGCCTTTCTGGGCCTCACTTAAGTTGTGTCTATTAAAAAAAAAAAAAACAGATGTAAGAAAATGGGCAGTTCTGCCAAGAAGTCAGTGTCTGGGTCCTGTGTGCCAGGGCTACTCCTGTTCTGTCCATTCTGAAACAAGGTCGTGGGTAGCCCTGGCTAATCTTGTCATCCTCCTGCTTCAGCCTTCTGAGTGTTGGAGTGGCAGATGAGCCCACCGTGCTCGGCTTGTCTAGGATGGTATTAAGAGGTTTGGAACAAGACAGACTGTGAAGTGTGGGGCCATTGATAGTTTCCAGTCCCCTCAGTATATGAATGGAGACAAAAGGCCTTACCCGGAATGCTGAGTGTGATGAAGGGGCCTCCATCCATTCCTTGTCATGGTCTTCTGTGTAAGAAGCTTCTCACGATGAACACTAGCTGCCAACTACCAGCAGAAGGCTCACCAGAAGCCAGGCCCACAGGAAGACCAGGCCCGCAGGAAGACCAGGCCCGCAGGAAGACCAGGCCCACAGGAAGACCAGGCCCGCAGGAAGCCAGTGCAAGATTTTCTACGGAGCAGAGGCAGCTCCTCTCATCTTGACCAGACACATTGTAGAGATCAAGCCTGGTACCAAAGACCCCAGTGAAGGGACAGAGCTGAGAGTCAGTGGAGACAAGCTGAAGGGCAATGGGAGGAGGAAGCCTGAGTGTGGAGACCCACGGCTGTTGTCCCAATGTACAGGATGCTGAGGCAGGATGCTGAATTCCAGACCAGCAAGCAGGGTGCCTGTATCCAGCAATAATAATAGTGATAATAATGTTATTTTAAAAAGGGAAAAGGAGGGAGGAGGAAGAAGAGGAAGGTGAAGAGAGAATGGAAAGGGAGAGGAGAAGAGGGAGATAAGCAGTGGACAGGATGGTCAGGACACTTCAGCAGCTACAGGCTGGCCACAGTCCACCCAGTGCCCTACCTGGACAGATGTCACTTCAGTGGGGCTGAGGCAGAGCGAGGGGATCCAGAATCAGGCCAAAGACTGACATAGGCGTGATGTCACTTGTAGGGACCGGAGCAAGCCCAGCCAGGATCAGCACGCCTAAGAGGAAGTAAGGGCCCTTGGGTTATAGGAGCAGTGGTCTTGAGCAGAGAATGGTGTTAGGGTCTGAAATTTACTAACCAACTGAGGCAGGGCTTAAAAGTGGGAATAGTGTGTGTGTGTGTGTGTGTGTGTGTGTGTGTGTGTGTGTGTGTGAGAGAGAGAGAGTATGTGTGTGTGTGTGCACACTTGTGTGCGTGCACACATGTGGGAGAGAGAATGTTAGAGAGAGAATGTATATGAGAGAGAACATGTGTGTGTGTGTGTGTGTGTGTGTGTGTGTGTGTGTGTGTGAGAGAGAGAGAGAGAGAGAGAGAGAGAGAGAGAGAGAGAGAGAGAGA